TCAGCACACGTTCAGCTCGATGACGTCCGGCGAACTCCGATCCAGTAGAGCTTCACGGGAGAGTTCCGTCAGCACGATGGCGTGGTGACGGTGATGATGTTGCTGCCGACGCAGGGCTTCGCCTAAGCACCGCTACGATATGACCGAGGTGGAATATGGTGGAGGGGGCACCGCACACGGCTGGAATAGATCACAGATCAACTTATGTGTCCATGGGGTGCCATTTGCCTCAGTATATAAAGGAGGAGAGGAGGGGAGGCCGGCCGGCCCTAGAGGCGCGCCCAAGTGTGGAGTTCTACTAGGACTCCAAGTCCTAGTAGGAGTCCACCAAGAGGAAGGGAGGGAGAAGGAAGGAGAGGGAGGAAAGGAAGAAAGGGGGGTCGGCCCCCCTAGTCCAATTCGGTTTGGGCTAGGGGGGTGCGCGCCCTGCCTTGTCCTGCCTCCTCTCTTCCCCCACTTGGCCCATGAGGCCCAATACTTCTTCCCCCGTACTCCCGTAACTCCCCGGTACTCCGAAAAATACCCGAATCACTCGGAACCTTTCCAATGTCCGAATATAGTCGTCCAATATATCGATCTTTACGTCTCGACCATTTAGACACTCCTCGTCATGTCCCCGATCTCATCCGGGACTCTGAACTACCTTCGGTACATCAAAACACATAACTCATAATATAAATCATCACCGAACTTTAAGCGTACGTACCCTACGGGTTCGAGAACTATGTAGACATGACCGAGACACGTCTACAATCAATAACCAATAGCGAAACCTGGATGCTCATATTGGCTCCTACATATTCTACGAAGATATTTATCGGTCAAACCGCATAACAACATACGTTGTTCCCTTTGTCATCGGTATGTTACTTGCCCGAGATTCGATCGTCGGTATCTCAATGCCTAGTTCAATCTCGTTACCGGCAAGTCTCTTTACTCGTTCCGTAATGCATCATCCCGCAACCAACTCATTAATCACATTGCTTGCAAGGCTTATAGTGATGTGCATTACCGAGAGGGCCTAGAGATATCTCGCCGACAATCGGAGTGACAAATCCTAATCTCGATCTATGCCAACTCAACAAGTACCATTGGAGACACCTGTAGAGCACCTTTATAATCACCTAGTTACGTTGTGACGTTTGGTAGCACACAAAGTGTTCCTCCGGTATTCGGGAGTTGCATAATCTCATAGTCATAGGAACATGTATAAGTCATGAAGAAAGCAATAGCAACATACTAAACGATCAAGTGCTAAGCTAACGGAATGTGTCAAGTCAATCACATCATTCTCTAATGATGTGATCCCGTTAATCAAATTACAACTCATGTCTATGGCTAGGAAACTTAACCATCTTTGATTCAACGAGCTAGTCAAGTAGAGGCATACTAGTGACACTCTGTTTGTCTATGTATTCACACATGTACTAAGTTTCCGGTTAATACAACTCTATCATGAATATTAAACATTTATCATGAAATAAGGAAATAAGTAATAACTTTATTATTACCTCTAGGGCATATTTCCTTCAAGACTTCCCTGGGACACCGGACGTCGAGGTCCTTGATGGCCCTGACAAGCCCGCTCCGAAGCCCTTTGACAAGCCATTTGACCCCGTCCATAATTGGAAGAGGAAGAGAGGATGCCTGATGGAGGAGGAGATCAATGTCTTTTGCAGCATGACTGAGGCGGTGAAGGAGGTGGCAACAACCATCAGGGAGTGCAAGCCCCTCGACGTCCACCCTGACCTGTATGGCGCTTTCATGAACCAGGGTGGATTCAGCGACGAGGCTCTCATGGCAGCTCTCGGCCACCTACTTGACAACAAGGCCCAGGGTGTTGGGTTCGTTGCCATGGCCGACGCTCACAGGGTGCTATGGCTCAGGAGCTAGCTGGGCAAGAACTACTACTAGAGTAGTGCTGCCTGTAAGCGTGCATGATCCCCGACGTTGATGGCGGTGGCGACGACGAGATGACGATGACGGCGTACATTTTGTGTAGCTAGGGCTCAAAACTATTTGATGGTCTGTATATTTTGGTGAGGGGGTATATACTAACCCCTCACGTTGATGGTGAACTTGCGGTGGTAGGACAACACCCTCTTTTGGATGTGGTGGTAGGTTAATGCTACGTCTTGAGTTTGCGTTGGTTTTCCTTGAAGAGGAAAGGATGATGCAGCAATAGTAGTGTAAGTATTTCCCTCAGTTTTTGAGAACCAAGGTATCAATCCAGTAGGAGGCTCCTCACAAGTCCCACGCACCTACACAAACAAACAAGAACTCACAACCAACGCAATAAAGGGGTTGTCAATCCCTTCACGGCCACTTGCGAAAGTGAGATCTGATAGAGATAATATGATAATATAAATATATTTTTGGTATTTTATGATATAGATTGGAAAAGTAAAGATGTAAATAAAATTAGATTGAAAGCTTATATGATAAAGATAGACCCGGGGGCCATAGGTTTCACTAGTGGCTTCTCTCAAGATAGCATAATTATTACGATGGGTGAACAAATTACTGTCGAGCAATTGATAGAAAAGCGCATAGTTATGAGATTATCTAGGCATGATCATGTATATAGGCATCACGTCTGTAACAAGTAGACCCGACTCCTGCCTGCATCTACTACTATTACTCCACACATCGACCGCTATCCAGCATGCATCTAGAGTATTAAGTTCATGAAGAACAGAGTAATGCATTAAGAAAGATGACATGATATAGAGGGATAAACTCATGAAATATGATATAAACTCCATCTTTTTATCCTTGATGGCAACAATACAATACGTGCCTTGCTGCCCTGCTGACACTGGGAAAGGACACCGCAAGATTGAACCCAAAGCTAAGCACTTCTCCCATTGCAAGAAAGATCAATCTAATAGGCCAAACCAAACTGATAATTCGAAGAGACTTGCAAAGATAACTTAATCACACATAAAAGAATTCAGAGGAGATTCAACTATTTCTCATAGATAAACTTGATCATAAACCCACAATTCATCATATCTCGACAAACACACCGCAAAAAGAGTTACATCGAATAGATCTCCAAGAAGAGAAAGGAGAACTTTGTATTGAGAATCAAAGAGAGAGAAGAAGCCATAGCTAATAACTATGGACCCGAAGGTCTGTGGTAAACTACTCACAACTCATTGGAGAGGCCTTGGAGATGATGTAGAGGCCCTCCGTGATCGATTCCCCGTCCGGCGGAGCGCCGGCGAAGGCTCCAAGATGGGATCTCGCGGATACAGAAGTTTACGGTGGTGGAAATAGTTTTTCGTGGTCGCCTCTGATGTTTTTGGGGTACATGGGTATATGTAGGAGGAAGAAGTAGGTCGGTGGACGCTCGAGGGGCCCACGAGGGTGGGGGGCGCCCCCACCTGTAGGGGGCGCGCCGGGCACCCTCGTGGCCGCCTCGCTTGTTTCTTGACTTCCACTCCAAGTCCTCTGGATCACGTTTGTTCCAAAAAGATCACTCCCGAAGGTTTCATTCCGTCTGGACTCCGTTTGATATATTTTTTTTCTTCAAAACACTGAAATAGGCAAAAAAACAGCAATTCGGGTTGGGCCTCCGGTTAGTAGGTTAGTCCCAAAAATGATATAAAAGTGTAAAGTAAAGCCCATAAACATCCAAAACGGGTAATATAATAGTATGGAACAATCAAAAATTATAGATACGTTGGAGACGTATCAGTTAACACCAAGGTAGTGCTAGGTTGAACTTGTTATGCCGTATGATCATGCATGTTTTACTTCTCTTCTGCTCCATTGTTGTTTGTGTGCTACTTGTGCTCCATTGATTTGCTGCTTCAACTCTTGCTCTTGTGCATTGCTAGGGCAAGTGGTATGCCGTGTTCATCGGTGAGGTTCCAGGGGTTTATAGTTCATGGGAAGAAGCCAATGCACAAGTGGCATCATATAGCAACAACAACTATAGAGGGTTCAAGACTAGGCAGGCAGCAAAACAAGCTTACTCCGACTGGGTGCGAAAGCACGGAGGCAGCAGTGTCGACAATGCCAAGGTTGGAGTTGTCAAAGTGGAAACTGCTAAGGTGGATCGTCAGTTCGGCCTGAAGCTGAAGAACTTCATCATCTTCGCCCAGTTTGTCACCATCGCTGTGTTGTGGCGTTGGTGTGCTAGGTGTGATCATTGTGGGTAAGCTCACCAACTAGGGTACAAGGTAAGCACGACATGTACGCCGTATGCAACCAAACCCTGTGTTCATGTGCCGCTAGGACCAATGCAGCCAACCAAACAAAGTGCACTTGCGTATTATCTAATGCAGGGACACTAGATGCAGGCAACCAAACAAGTTGCATATGGTGTATTAGGGCCTGTTTTTCCTCAACCAGACTGGGTTGAGAAGTGTATGCAATGCGACTATTGTTCAAAACTTGAACCAAACACGCTCTTAATCTCCCGCAGGATAGTTACATAGCAAGAGGGAACACCAGTGTTGATGCTTGCAACAACTTCCGCACAGTCCGAAGCGATGCAGAGGGAATCGACGTATAAATCATCTGCGAGTGAAAGAGCTTGCTTGCAAGCATGAGCATCAAGCGTTGGTGGATCCACGAGCCCTTCGAAGACAACAGCGGATGCACCCAGGAATGAGCCATTTTGGTCCCTGCACACCGCCGCCGCCGCGCCTCTTGTGCCATCCCTAGAGAGGCCACCGTCAACGTTTAGCATATGTGGTTATACTTGAGTTCCATGCATAGACTGAAAAAGTCTCAGATTTCCCCCTATTTTATTGGCATGTTTCCATTTTTGTGCTGGTTGGGAATTTCGTTGAGATCGTACGGTTAACTAGACTATAGACCTATAGTCGCCACAACTATTTCTTTCTCTCCTGTCTTCGTTGCTATGTCTGGCGAGGAAGGTATGTAATTCCTCCTCTCCTCGGCGGCACCAACATGTTCCATGCAGACGAGCGCGGTGACTGCGCAAGTGCTCACTCACCCTCGCTCCCATGTCCCATGCAAGCACATTAATTCCTCCTCTCGTCCTCGTCGGCAAGGTCGCCGTCTTGCTCCTTGTTTGTTTGACAGAGTAACTGGGGCCGTCGTCTTCCTGGGCGACACCATGTCCCATGCAGGCGCGGCACGGCCGCACAAGTAACCATAACCAACCAAACCAAACCTCGCCGCCCACCGACGGCGAGCAGTTTCCTGCCTGGCATTGACATTTGCGCGCCCGTGGCAGGCTCCCTGTCGCTGATGCGCGACGCGACGGCTCCTGGGCCGGCCGCGTCGGCCGGAGCGCCAGTCTGAATCCTGTAGCCGTAGGCAGGGCGCCGGCCGCAGCGGAGCGGACAGCCAGCCACGGACGTGCATGTAGCTTGACAGCGTCCTCTCACGCCCCTGTCGCCGCACAGCGAAAGGCCCCTGCCTCGCCCTGCCTTCGTAGAAAGCGATGATTGGATGCGTCAGCGGCGTAGTCGTACACGCACACATATGTGAACCCCCTCTTGCCCGCACTGCTCGGCAACAGAGGCGCCGGTGCGAAGTTCGTCATGAGCAGCAGTGGGTCTGAGCTGCCAGCATTCAGGTTCTTCTAGAGCCTTTTGGCCTCGGGGAAATAAGATCAGACCGGCCTCTGCTGCTGGGTTTGGGACGGGCAGAGTATGTGCAGGGTCAGAAACTTGCTTGTTCTGTTTCAAACCACCCAGGGCCAAACCACACCACCAGTGTCCAATGCTCTGCTTAAACCACATTCATGTCACACATCGGTCTCACTATGTACACACATCGTCATCATCACCATCGGATCCGGGCCGGGCCGGGCACTCTGGGTCCGGCACCATGTACAAACTTTTACAACGTCGTCTGTCATCATCTATCTGCTTGCAAACAAAAACCCGGCAAAACCACAATACATAGGGATAGGGGGGTATCTCACGCTAGTATAACGGGGTGGGGGCAGGGGGAGGGGGACCCCCCCTGTCTCTCTGGAACACTACCTATAATGACACGAGCTGGGATCAGAGATCGGATCGGCGAGGCGAGCTTGGAGCCGTGCCCGTTGAGCAGCAGGATAAGGCACATCAGATCGGAGCGCGGCAAACCGGAACTCTGCTCAACCCAAGGTCTAGCTACTGGATCATCTATCTACCTGGGGTCTTCTAACAAAACAAGAATCTCTTCGTCCTCGATGGTTCCGCTGTCGATGGCGTACTGCAATGCCGTTCTACCCTCACGGTCTGTCGCCTGCGAATCAGCACCCCTGCATGGAGATTCAAGCAAGTAAGCTATAGCATCCATGCATACTTGCCGTACAGAAATGTAAAAGGAAATATAAGCATTATTAGTATACCTGGAGAGGAGCAACTTGGCATGCACGCGCCTTCCTTTCAAAATGCTGTGATGAAGCGGTGTTCGGCCTCTAGGATCCGTGGAATTCACACTGGCCCCATACTGCAAGAGTAGCTCAACCATGCCTATATCCGCGACACGGCATGCCAGATGAAGCAGAGATAGGCCCTCAGCACAGCCATCTAATTCGTCTGTTCGCGCACTCGTGCTCGCAGGAGAAAGAGAACCCCTGGGAGAAATTTTCTCAGATGCACCACGGTCAAAGCATCTAGAACTACCATTTGACGGCGAAGACGGTTGCTCTTGTAAGAGAAGCGCTTTCCCAAGAGTCAAAGCCGAATTGAATGATGTCTGCCCATAAGTTAGATTTACATCGGCGTTCGATCGCACTATCAGACTGTACACCTCCATCTTGTTGTTTGAACTTACATGATCCCACATCTGTTGTGCTAGCTGAGTCTCATCCATACTATGCTTCCGTACAAAATCTTTCTCAGCATACTGGAATATTTAAGAAACAATAATCATTAGCAACTGAACATCACTAGGCATATTATAAATGAAATTATCTCTTATGCCTTTCACATCAACAACTTTAATCTCATTCTCTTTTTGGTCTTTAATCTCATTCTCACCAAGTTCACCTACCATGTTCTCTAGATCTCTACCTTCTCACTCCCAGTTTCCCTAAAACCACGTATCATAGAAATGCAATATTCTCAAACACACTTTACGATGTATCTAATGTTCTTGATTTGCATGTGGAGGTTGTATCCCATGCAAGATACTGTTTCCTTCCATTTATTTTCTCACTCTCAATCTCACCCAAAAAAAAAAAGACAAATGGCAGCCTTTTAGATACAGATTAGGTCGTCTGTTGCAGATATCCATAGTCCCTCTTTTTGTTTAAAAAAAACATAGTTCAAAAAAGCGCTAGGCGTTAATTGTACGTTTTGCCACCGCCTTGCGCTTTACTGACCAAAGCGCATGGTTATGCGTAGTTATGCACAGATTAAGCGTAGTTATGCCCAATGCGTTTTGCCAACGCCTAGAGCCTAAGCGCGCTTAAGCGCTCGCTTATGCGCGTCTTTTCTAACTATGAGAAAAACTATTATGCACTCTGTAAACCCAATGTGGTCTATTCAGTGGATGTTGCCTATACAACTTTTTTTTTGCAGGAATGTTGCCTATACCACTAACTCACACGTGATTCAAATTGCATTCTGCTTATTAGTGATCACCAATTGTTTGCTCAAAAGTACTCCGATGTAACTTATACTGATAGTGCGATCATAAATATACTGAAACAATAGGCAAATCATAAAGTACCTTGGCATGAATAAATTTCTCTTTCAGAGAGATAGGATCCGATTGTTTAGGCTTTCTGACAGCCAAGTTATCTGGTGTGTTTTCAATTCCATCAGATCTACAAAACAGTAAAACTTGCAAGTTAACATGATATTACAACAATAGGGACTTCACAGATTTTTGTATAGTTGCAAACAGCATCGATTTACCTCGAAGTATCACCATGATCAAAACTGCTTGACGAAGTTAACATTTCTTCCCAGATAGTGTTGGCAAATGTGTTGCCTAAAGACTGGAAGAGATTGATTACAGATGGCTCCCACACCCTGACATCAAGTGTCAGAGACCTTACCTGCCAATACAAGGCACTCTTTAGGTAATGTTCATCCTGATTTATCTTTCAACAATTAAAGCGTAGCCTGCTAATCACATTAATGATGAATTCATGCTAGGACTTACAAAATACTAAATCTAAAATGACATATTACAAAAAAAAATGGGTTGGTGAATGTTGTCTGAAAGAACTAAACCATTTCAGATTTTGTGCATGAAGTAAATACATTGCATCCCAAAATTCCTTAGTTTTCCTGTCAAAGATGCAGTTATTGCAACTCAGATTCTGGTTTGCAATCAAAAAACAAATGGGACACACAACTATCATTCAATTGTTCCTACACCTTAATATGCTGAGCACAAAATAAACAATATATATACATTTTAAATGTGTAAGGATTTTGAGTTGAAACTGTCAAGAATATTGCCTGTTCACCTTAGATATATGCACACCAAGATTCCGGTGTACACCAGAACATTCTATGCATACAAGGACTCCGAGGTTTAGGGATGCCCAATCAGGCTCTGCAGCACCACAATCAGCACAAACATCATTGCCAACCACCTTCCTAAGCAATTCAATTGGCTTGTCAGGTCTCATGCTGGTTCGATGATGTTGTGTGACTCTGGAGTGCTCAAAGTACCCACTTCCTGAGTTCTTTTCCATCATAAAATCTTCACTCATGGAATGGTCAAGTTCTGTTGAGCTACTGAAAGAACTACTTTCGCTGTTTGTTCGATGATGGCCACTGCCCTTAGGGCTCAACAGTAGACGCTGGAACAAATTGTATTAGTGTTAAGAAAATCAAATCTGGATATGTAAATAATTGCACAAAAATGATTCAGCACTGACCCGTTCAGGGGATTGGGAGCTTAACAAAGAAGCAATGACACCAGTGATCTTTTCAATCCAATCCATCTGATCCATCGCACTCTCTGCCTGCCCAAGAATAGGTGCATGCCACTATTAAATAGACAACAAGCAACTTGGCATCTATTAAAAACTCGATAGTGTCATTCCTTTCTTTGCTGGCCTAAATGACAAATACAGACAACAGGTTTCTGGTTAGGCTGAATACCTGCAGTGTGTAGTTTTTTGTGGGCGAAATTATTCTGAAACAGAACCTTAGATCTGATTGATCTGCGTCAACTTTAATGGTTGACGTTAGCAGGTTTACTGTATGTCGTGCTACAGATTTCTCATCATGCACACCGCCATGGTAATGAGATGAGAACCATCTGCTAAGCAGCCCAGAGCCATGCTCATTGGGAGTGCTACTTCGTTGGTTAGAATAACCACTCTGTAAAATCAAAAACAGGAAAAATTAACGGAATGGTGTGAACTGAAACAAACCCAAAGCATTTCTATAATATCATACCAAATTGAGTACGTGTTACGGGAACTTACGGATGGTCTACTATTTTGCTTGCGGTAGTAATACAACATTCCTCGATTATCAAGGACAAAGAACCTCCTTTTCCAGTCGCCTCTCAAATTCGAAGAACGCTTTGAGAGATAGCCTTGCCGAATAGTCTGAACCTGAAAATAAGTACACAATTTTGAACATCACATGCATTTACTGAATGAACACCTTCCTACAAGCATGAATCCAAATTTCAAGTCAACCAGAATGTGCTACCTTTCCCTTTGAAGCTGACTGCATGACGGCTTCAATCATCTTATGTGAACTTCGACCAATTGCTTGTATTCCATCACCATTAGGGGAATCAGTCATCCCGTTTGGTGACCACCGACTTTCCCGGTCAATCTGCCTTTTGAACTCTTGCATCCTCTCTACAAGAGCAGCTTGCTCGTAGTTGGACCTTTCTCTTGATTGCTGTGCATAAGCAAGCACCTGCAAAAGGAGAATCCATGGTGTGTTAAAACAAACATTTGTTACCAGGAAAAAGCAAGCAGGCACAGGCAGCTATGCGAAGAATTGGTGGATTCAGTAACCAAACGTTGCACTGTACTTCATTGAATCATTAAAAAATGGTCTCAGCAGGTGGTTTCCACTGTGCAATTTGCACAATTAAATGACAAATTAATTTAGAAATGAAGCAACTGGTACCGAACTATTTGACACCTAATCTTGGAGGTGATTTTCACTGCAATTGCCATGACCAAATGACAACATTTTTGCAATAAATATTTGAAATCGGACCATCTAACGCGTAATTGCAGGGGTTGAAGGTCATAAGAGGTCAATGTCTTGAAGGCGTTTTGTGCGACGAATCCAGGAGTCTTAGGTCAGGGAGGCTTTAAAAAGGATGAAATGAGGCAAGGCAATGGGCCCTGATTGTATCCCCATCAAGGTGCGGAGAGGCCTCGGAGACAGCGAAAGTATGGCTAACTAAGCTTTTCAACCTCATTTTTTTGGGCAAACAAGATGCCTAAAGAATGGATGCGGAGTAAATTAGTACCAATCTTCAAGAACAAGGGAGGCGTTCAAAGTTGTACTAATTACCGTGGAATTAAGTTGATGAGCCATACAATGAAGCTATGGGAGAGACATTGAGCACGGGTTAAGAAGAATGACAAGCCTGACCAAAAATCAGTTTGGTTTGATGCCTGGGAGATCGACCATGGAAGCAATTTTCTTGGTACGACAGCTTATGGAAAGATACAGGGAGCAAAAGGGCATGCATATGGTGTTCATTGACTTGAAGAAGGCCTAAGATAAGATAACGCGGAATGTCATGTGTTGGGCCTTGGAGAAACACAAAGTACATTACCCTCAACAAGGACATGTACGATAATGTTGTGACAAGTGTTTGAACAAATGATGGTGACACTGATGACTTTCCAATAAAATAGGACTACACCAAGGGTCGGCTTTGAGCCCTTATCTTTTTGCTTTGGTGATGGATGAGGTCACAAGGGATATACAAGGAGATATCCCATGGTGTATGCTCTTTGCGGATGATGATGTGGTGCTAGTTGACTATAGTCGGACAAGGGTTAATAGAAAGTTAGAGCTGTGGAGACAAACTTTTTGGAATCAAAAGGTTTTATGCGTATATAGAACTAAAATTGAGTACATGAGGTGCGGTTTCAGTACTATTAGGCACGAGGATGAGGTTAGCCTTGGTGGGCAAGTGGTGCCTCAGAAGGACACCTTCTGATATTTAATGTTGCAGAAGGTTAGTGATATCGATGAAGATGTAAGACATCAAATCAAAATTGGATAGATGAAGTGGCGCCAAGCTTCTGGCATCCTTTGTGCCAAGAGAATGCCACAAAAGCTAAAAGGCAGATTCTATAGGACGGCGATTCAACCTACGATGGAGTATGGTGTTGAATGTTGGCACCTAAAAGGAGACATGTCCAACAATTAGGTATAGCAGAGATGTGCATGTTGAGATGGATATGTGGCCACATAAGAAAGGATCGGGTCCGGCATGAGGATATACGTGATAAAAGAATTGGGGTAGCAATGATTGAAGAGAAGCTTGTCCAACATCGTTTGAGATGGTTTGGGCATATACGGCGCAGGCAAGCGCCATTGCATAGCGGACAGTTAAGGCATGCGGGCAATGTCAAGAGAGGTCAGGAGGAGTCTGTTAAGAGAGATCTGAAGGACTGGAATATCACCAAAGAAGTAGCCATGGACAGGGGTGCGTGGAAGCTAGCTGTCCACATGCCAGAACCCTGAGTTGGTTTCGAGGTCTTATGGGTTTGTAGCTTACCCCAACTTGTTTGGGAGTAAAAGGCTTTGTTGTTGTTGTTGTTGAATGTGCAGATAACATGCAAGATTATAAGTTTATAACAAATGGCGCATCGGTGGAAGAGATTTTTTACATATCCACTAACTAGTACATATGTATTACTTCAACTACATAAACTAGCACCGAACATTCACATGTAGCACTACAAAAAAAATGAAAAATAGAAAGTCACGGTTAAATAGTTACTTGATTGATATACGGTTCCATCTGATGGAGTAATTCATATCCCTGAAAAAAAACAGCAGATGAAGTTTGAATATCATTTGTGCATAACCAAGAAATGTCAGAATGCAAATAATGACAAGCCAATACTTGTTTGAAATAACGAAGATGTGCATCCATTGTTCCACTAACAGCCTCCAAAAATTCAAATCTCTTCTTAGCCTCAATGTTTGAAAGCGCAGTGACCTGTAGATAAGACAAACAAAAGGCATGTCAAATATATAATTACAGAAAACAGAACAGTGAATAGAGATACAGGGAAGCATTACACCTACCAGGTTGAAACGAGCTTGCTCAAATGAAGATCTGGCGCTGTGAAGCTCCTGGTAACGTCACAAACAAGTTAGTGATCATGGCTTCTAACAGAAGTTCGATAATGTCAAATAAGGAAAGGAACTTACATCCTCAACTGCAGTTGCTATGTCTGTCCTTGTTCCTTTCTTCAAGGATAAATACCTCTCACGAGCCTGGGTGAGAAGACAAATCAGTCAGCGAGACCCTTTTTAAAAATAAACTCGACTTTTGTCAAAAATGCATCAGCAACCGCAAATGATTGCATGCCGATCAACAGAAGAAATGGAATAAAGCTGTCATATTGGTGTCACGGTGCAGTAAAATTATTCCCATGCAGCAAATGGCAGATTCTGCTTATCCTAGATTAATTTTTACCATGGGTCACTATTTTAGCAACTAGGAGTCAGTAGACAGAAAAATAACACAGAAATAGCATCTGCACATTATGGCAAACAGAATCCTTCTGATTATAGTGAAAGTTGGCTATCATATTGGCAGGTTGACGGGAGCAGAGTAAACAAACACCAAAACAAAAATGGGAGAATATATAGCTCTATCATTTTGTTCACAATAAGCCAATATATTGAACTTTGTTATTGCTGCCACAAGATTGAACCCATATGATACGAGCTTCAGAATCACCTTGAAGACATATTTAATATTGTAACTTTGAAATGAGCTCAAAACAGCATTACCTGGTCGTACAGAAGGCTAGCCTTGTCAAAACGCTTTCGGGCATCCTGATCAGAAGTTATCAAATTTAATGGCAGGTCCAAACCCAATGTGAAATTTACAAATAAGATGTTAGAAGAGAATTGCACAAATACCTTCACATCATGCAAATCCATGTCCACAAACTGCAGCAGCTTGTCATTTAGCATATGCTCAACCTATCAGAACAGTATGCAAGAAGTTAGACCACCTAAACCTGAAGTTAAGCAAAAGGATGCGCGTGCAATATATGTACATACAAATGTCTACCTGGGAGCGCAAAACTTCCTTGTATGTTCCAATTTCTCTCAAGGCAATTGTAAATTTGGTCATCACGGGTCCTGGACCAGAGGTACATGTCATAATTTATACATAACTGGCCAATTAGGAAACCAACAAGAAAAAACACTACAGCGCTGATGAAACCTAATGAAAGTTATGATGTCTTATCATTTTCATTGACAAAAGCGCCCTTCAGTTCTCAGTTAGCTGTTACTGGGGTTTTTACACAGTGGCCGTGAGAAGGTTATCATTCAGGAATTTCAGGCGTCACATGGCAGCATTTAACCCTAAAGTTAACAGACTTGCATGCATGCGTGCATCCTTAGTTTCCTTGAACTCCTTGCTTAAAAATGCATTCTTGACCGCTGTCATACTAGTGCTAGTGGTTTACTAGAGATAGTAGTAGTATTGTATTTCTCCTCCTACTACTCTGGCACTATGTGCGCATACAACAACCAACAAGCAGATAAACTACAACAACCCGACAAGGTAAATGACTTAAAAAAAAATGGACGCCATGCAAACTGATGTTGCAGCAAGGAAAAAGTAAAATGAACAGTCTAGCTGAAAATCGAGATCTAGTACTTGAACCCTGCAATCTATTGATAAGTTCATATATATAATTGACTACCTACAAACCAGCCTAGAAAATATTTTGGTGGTATAAATCCGTCTCAATTGAATTTGTTTGGGTACAATGGCAAACAAGCAATTTTAATGAACTCGTCTTGGTATCAGAATCCTATCTAAAACAACACCTAAACGAGAGCCGGAGGAAGTATCCAGTTTTAACAAGCATGAAAGCAAAATAATGCTCAAATCAGTAAAGTGAGTGAATGTGACTATAACAGTACATAAATATACTTGAATGAGAACTATATTGCTAACCTCCAAAGGCAACACTGATTGGATCATTGTGACCGCCTCCAAATGCTTCTAGTGAACTTGCGAATGCAATATCTCCATCATATGCTTCGCCTAGCCCTTCACTGAAATAAAAGGGCAAATGTAAACATTTTCAATCCTAGATAGCGCATAGCAGCACGCAAGCATAAAATAGGGTGGATAAAGGGGCGTATGCCACTCAAATGAGATGTGAATGGCCACTTACGTGTATTTACGGCAACCTTTGTGATACTTCAAGCATCTCTCTCTCAGCATGTCAGCACCTTCTTCAAGTGATTGCATCTATTTATTGAAGGAAAAACAATTTAAACAATGTTCATCAATCAAACAAAATCTGTTGAGTCTTTCGGTATAAACCCAGAAACAACCATTAAAAAGCCTAGGTGTAAAGCAATTTGTAATCAGCGGAGCACATAGAAAATGTTTTTTTTGTAATAAAAGCACATGTATCACATCAAAAGCTCATCCTTTTGCTGAGTTGTGTATAATTATTAATTTATTACTCATACAATTGCATAGATAAAACCTGTCGAACCCTGAATCAACCAATCCTACTGACACAATATCAAACAGTCTAGCAGGTGTGCATCAGAACAAACTTTGAGCAATCAACGCACACGCATTGCAAAAGAAAACCAACATCTAACAGGATGGAGGATACCATACGAACTCAGGTGGAACCTTCACTCACATGTTAAGATCATAACATATTTAAAAGTATAGCAGTGAGGCCAATCAATCAACAAAAAAACAGACAAGAAACCTGCACATCACTACCACAGACAGAGCCAGACAGGCAGACAGGGCTGCTTCAATCTCGAACGGTTCGAGGCGAAGCTACGGCGAGAGGGGCCAGACTTGCTCCACCCATTCCCATCGCTGCAGCCCCAGAAACAAGGACAGATCCAATCCATCGCCGGGAGCCCAACCCAGGAGCCACCAGCGGCGAGCACTACACCCGAAACTGCAAGCTTTTGTCGCTCCCCACTAACTAGCCATCCCCCGGCCCTTCCCAGCGGCGAAGCGGGGCTCTCCAATGGCCCGCGAGTCGAGATCCGAGGAGTAGTAAGCTGGCTCACCTGCTTCCTGAACATGGGCGAGTCATCGAGCCGGGTGAAATACATGTCTGCCACCTGTAAGCCGCCTCCGCACCGCCGCCGTCGCCACTCCAACACCGCAACCCGCACGGCGTCCTACCTCCTCATCAACCCGCAGCCTACGCCCCCGCGAAACCTCGCTCGCCGACAGCCCACTCCGCCGCCGCCGCCGCCGCCGCCACCCCGGGCTCACAGAGACACAGACTGACCTCCTCCGCCTCCTCCTCCTGCTCCGGACGCCGCGTGCCGCCGGGGAGCGGGACAAACTTCCCGATACCGCCGCTGAGGCTGGGCGAGAAACCCTAGGCGGCGGCCGGAATCGGCGAAATGGCGGTGGGGGCGGAGGAATGGAATGGCGAGGGGAGAGGGGACAGGCGCAGACAGGCGGAGAGGGGTGTAAAGAGAAAAGAGGGGCCGGCGAGAAAAATAACGGTGCTGTGCGCTGCGCTCTCCTTTTGGTTCGATTTTACTAATTTCTCGGGTTAATTAAGGGGAGTGGGGGATTAGGAGCTGATCGTGCGTGGTGGGCCTCGCGTACGGGCGGGCGCGGGGCCCGGTGGCGGTGAGAGGGGCGCCGGTGGACGCGGTGCACGGGGGCGCGGGGTGGCGGTTTGGGCTGGGAGGAGGCGGTCACCCGCCGGTGAGCGTAATGATGGGCCGGTTACATGTCTTTGACCGGGGAATTATTCGCGTTTTTTAAATGATGAAATTGCCGCTAGTTCCATGATCGTGTATGACTGACTGTACTGAAATTCGTAGCATCCTCACATGCTAAGCCAAGGTCGATACACCACTCAATAATCTTCAAAACAATTCTTAAGTTTGGAGCTCCCGGAATCGATTTAGGTCTTCGCTTTTGGATCATGCCATGATTTTGACTGGGGTCCTCGCCCTGGTGGGTCCCTTTGATGGGGTTTTGAGGCCTTTTCCGGTTGTGTGTGTCGCCTCTCTGGAGCTGCTCGGCTCGGGAGAGGGGGGAAAGGGTTGGCGGCCGGCAACGGGGGCGGAGCAGGGGTATGCTTTGTTTTTTGTCGCAGGCACGACACAAAAATGGTGCATCAGTGTGAGGGCTTCCTATGGGCCCGGTGCACCGGACGAGTTGAGATTGCTAACTCTCTTGTCGACCCCTGAAACTTGTGTATGAGTTAAGAAAGAATTATTCCCGAGTAGAGAGGGCAGGAAATGAGGACGGGGCAATCAATGGATTCCTATGAAATAGAAGATCTACGTGACCATTTCTTCCTGCTCATCACACTTCTCTCTGGTTTTATTTATTCTAAACAGGAAAGCATCAACAAAACTTCCCTTTCCATATAGATCGTCGTGGCATGAATTAAATTAGGCCAAATATGGCCCATAGTAATCCAACTTCTATGGTATACACTGATTTGCTCGCTATCTGAGGCATTAATTTACCTACTAAAATATCATTAGTTTCTACCCAGGATGCCAACCTAACAACTACATTTTCTGTCTAAATTGTTGAGGCATGGTCGAATGTACCTTTAATACTTCACGTGCATTCTTCTCTTATAGATTTAGCTAGGATCAAAACATTTCAATCTCTTCATATATTCTTATCGTTGAACTCTTTTTTTTTGCTCAACAAACGCAAGGGATTTGGTTACTAGTTTTCTTTGAAGGTTTTCTCCATTGATCTTTTCCCTTGTTTAATGACTGGAATGAAAGTAGGATTGTTTATCCAATCCAAACTATTTAGTCAGAGAAAGAAAGATCGATGGTGGGCCCTATCATCTATGCTCTATTATGTTAAGGATTTTTGTATCCACATCCCTTAGAAGTATATTTGAATGAAATGAGCAAACCTTACTAGGAAGGTGAACTCGCTAACAAACTACTGCCTGCGCTAGGAGAAGCACGAAAGAAAAAATGTTTTATTATTTTCATACAAGAAGAATCGGCACAAGTAAAAGCCTTTTTCTTGTGTCGAATATACGATTAAGAAGACCCACAATCCCTTCGAAAAGGAAAAATTTTTGTTGTTCTCAACTTTGCCGCCCGGTGCCTAATTGAATGGTATCTTTCTTGGCGCGTACCACATCATCTATGCCCCTCCTTTTTCTGGGAGGATATCAAATGAGTAAAGGTTTTTGCCGACTCCCCTAAGTAACCACTCACTACTCAACTTGAAACCATGGACCTACCTGCTGCTTTTGACTTTCTTCTTTGTCCCAATTCATATCGAGCATGTCTTTCCCCATATTATAGATAGAGAGAATATAGGATAGGGGCACTCAAAGCAAATTGGATTCTACGTGGCCTTTCTTTCTCCAAAATCAGTAAAGCCCCAACCCAAGAAATGTAGCAAAGCAAGTCGTCTTTGGTTTGGAGCTAAATTCCCAGGGTCCGCACGTCGGCAAATGATTTGGAATTGGAATTGGCTACGGAGGAAACCAAAGCCCTGGCTCAAAGCACCGAGTCCTCATTCTTTCTATCTTCATCGTTAGTGAGCCTCCACTTGCTCCTAGAAATAAGGTAAGGTCAGTAAGCACTTTCCTGCCAAGTTTTATCAGCAAGCACTTGTGTGCCAGTGCCAGGAAAGAAAAGACTAGGGGAGGATTTGGCACTTCGTCCGACGGTGGGTTGGTTGTGCGCCGCTCCTTCATCTCGCCAGTGGTAAGGATTGGTATGTTTTTTTTTGCTTTCCAATTCCATTGAGGTTAGTGACGGGCAGAAAGTGGGTTGTGGGATTCAATGTTGACTTGGTGTTTGGTCAGAAGTTCCAGAGGGCACGTTTAGTTTTGATTTGGTGGGCCTATTCAGTTCAAAGATGGGAGGCATCACTTGTGCTCGTGTTTGTGATTTCTTTCACTTGAAAAATCGAACCACCATACCTAGGCCTCATCATGGATGGACTACCCTTCTAACCCGCTAGCCTCCATGCATCAAGAGAATAAACCTCCTTCCAACCCTCGTGTTGCTGCGATGTAGGTGGCGCTGGTGTGACGTAGTTGCAACACGGCGGGTGGTAGAGGGGGGCCAAGCAGTCGGGAAGCGTAGCAATGTTGGTGTGTCAGTGGGTTGTTGCGGCTGTGAGCGGGGATCGGGGCAATAGGGCTGGAACACAGTAAACTAGGTTTAGGTGGAGGATTTTGGGCCGATTGTGGTTGTTTGGGCCTTCGAGAAAGTTTTTTAATGGGCTTCTTGTTTAATTCAGATAATTCAGGTTATTCGGGTATAGTTGGTGCAAACACGAATATCTTGAATAAAATTCAAATTTTCAAAACTGCTACCCGGTATAGTGTTCAAGTTTTCAGATTCGAGATTCGGGTATCAGATTTTATGCCCTGCGGGCGTGACTCCAAATCCATAGCCAAATCTTGAGATAGTTTGAGTGTTGAGAAGATTATCTTCTGAAGCTCAAGGGCAAGGGATTCATTGTCGAGCAGCCTCTATCTTGTCACTTGTGGAGGGTGTACGCATCCTAGATCGACTAGGCGTGCTTGGAAGTCTTCAAGTTTGTGAAGAAGCCAATAAGTTTGAACGGGCCGAGAGATCACCTACTTCATGAAGATTTCCATGTTGGAAATATGCCCTAGAGGCAATAATAAAATGATTATTATTATATTTCCTTGTTCATGATAATTGTCTACTATTCATGCTGTAATTGTATTGACCGGAAACCGTGATACATGTGTGAATACATAGACCACAACATGTCCCTAGTGAGCCTCTAGTTGACTAGCTCGTTGATCAACATATGGTCATGGTTTCCTGACTATGGACATTGGATGTCATTGATAACGGGATCACATCATTAGGAGAATGATGTAATGGACAAGACCCAATCCTAAGCATAGCACAAGATTGTGTAGTTTGTTTGCTAAAGCTTTTCTAATGTCAAGTATCATTTCCTTAGACCATGAGATCGTGCAACTCCCGGATACCGTAGGAGTGCTTTGGGTGTACCAAATGTCACAACGTAATTGGGTGACTATAAATGTGCTCTACATGTGTCTCTGAAAGTATCTGTTGGGTTGGCACGAATCGAGACTAGGATTTGTCACTCCATAAGACGGAGAGGTATCTCTGGGCCCACTCGGCGATGCATCATCATAATGAGCTGAATGTGACTAAGTGGTTAGTCACGGGATCATGCATTACGGAACGAGTAAAGTGACTTGCCGGTAACGAGATTGAACGAGGTATTGGGATACCGACGAT